TTTGGATTAGCTGGGTTTGATTCTTTGGTTTACTTACTGAATTCAGCTTTTGGGCAATACAGGCCATTGTAGGTAGCAGTGATGGCTCAAGTAACTGCCTGCTGCTTCACATGCAAGAGTCTCCGATGAGTCTGCAGCTCCCAGCTTTGGCCAGGTAACATCCTGGTCATTGTGGATATTTCTGGAGTGGAAAGATAGAGGGGATTTGTCTCTTTCTCTTTTCCTATCTCTGTACTGCTAATTTTTAAAAAAGGCTTGTTTGTATTGAAAGGTTGATTTTGCCGGGAGAGAAGGATGGAAAGGTCTTCTATCCTTTGACTTACTCTCTAAATGACCGCAATAGCCAAAGTTGAATTGATTCAAAGCTTGGAGCCAGGAATTTTTCAGTCTGCCACATATGCACAAGGTGCTATCCTCTTTCGCTTTTCTAGACCATAAGCCTGCAGATGTATAGGCAGTGGAGCAGCTGGGACATGAACTGGAGCCCATTTGTTATGCTGATACAACATGGTAGAGGATTAGATTGCTGTGCGAGGCCCCTAAAGAAACGCTTCGAGGATCTGGTGTGATGGCTCAGTTGGATAATCCTCACCTTGCTAGCATCGGTTCCCACACGGATGCTGGTTTATGTCCTGGCTGCTCCACTTTCTATCCAACTCCATGCTTATGTCTGGGGAAAACAGTGGAAGATGGCCCAAATCTTAGCAATCCTGCTTTCACATGGGAGACTTGAAAGAAGCTCCTGGCTTCTGGGTTTGGACCGGTTCAGCTCTGGCCGTTGTGGCCATTTGGGGAGTGAACTTGTGGTTGGAAGATTTCTATTTCTGCCTTTCCTTGTTTCTATAAATCAGCCTTCCCAATTAAAAAATTAAAATAAATCTTAAAAAAGAAACTTTTTAGATTAAAGGACTTTTCTGGGTTGAGCATTTAGCCTAGTGAAAGAAGGTTATGATTAAGGTAATAGCATCCCACCCATCATTAGGGCTGTTACCTAGTCCTAGCTCATGGCTATAACCTCCTGCTGATACACTGCACCAACTTGGGAGATCCAGAGAAGCACCTGGCTCCTGGGTTCTGGCTTCGGATTGACTCAGCTCCAGCCATTGTAGCCATCTGGGGAGTGAACCAGGGAATGGAACATTTTTCTGTTTCTCCTTCTCTACATAAATCCGATCTGCTTTTCCATAAACAAAATAACAAATCTTTAAAAATTATTTTTATTTATTTGAAAGGCTAATGGGAGATATATAGATATGGAGATAGCTACAGAAATAGACTAGACAAAAACAGATGTTTTTCATTCACTGCTTACCCAAGATGCCTGCAATCTGGGGCTTGGCAAGCCAAGGCCTAGACTAAGAAGTTTCATTTTATGCTCCCGCATGGATTGCGGTGGTTGGCATATTTCAGCCATCACTTTGCAGTTTCTGAGTGTACGCATTAGGAAGAATCTGATGTAAAGTAGAGTTAGGATTGGAACCAGATGCAAAAATTCTGAGTGGTGACTTTTGTCTGTATACCAAATCCTGATTCTGTTTTGTGTTTATAATGATCCTCATTGGCAACAACATGGAGAAAGTATTGGAATGTGCCAATTGGAAATAGAGGAGAGCCATTTTTATTGGAAAGGCACATCAGATATATGGAAAGGTGAGACAGAGCAAAAGATCTTCCATCTGGTGATTCACCCCCACCCCACATGGCTACAATGACTGGAGCTAAGCCAATCTGAAGTCAGGAGCCAGCAGCTTCTTTTGAGTCTCCATGCAGGTGCAGGTTTCCAAAGATCTGGGCCATCCTCCACTGTTTTCTACGCTATAAGCACATAGCAGAATGGGAATAGCTGGGACATGAACTGATGTCATAAAGGATCCCAGTGTTTGCAATTTAAGGCTTTAGTCAATTGATTACATAATTTCTTTTTTAAAAGACACACTCTTTGTACTTTTTGAGTGACAATGGGGAAGATCAGAAAGAGTAAACTGCCTACTGCTGTTTTATTCCTCAAACTAGCACAACACCCAGTCTTTGGGCAGGACAAAGCTGGGAGTCAGGAATTCTAGGAGGGTCTCCCACATGAGTGTCAGGACCACAGTGTTGGATTATCTTTTGCTGTCTTGCTAAGCATATCAGTGTGAAGCTTGATTAGAAGCATCATTGCAGGGATTCAAATCACCCTGTGATATGGGATGTGAGAGTCCCAAACAACAGATTAAACTGATAATCCCAATCCTGGTTCTTATTTCAAAATGTAGCCAATGAAGGGATTCATTACAGGGCACTTCAGTATCACCCCAGTCCAGATGGGGAGTTTGAATCAGTTGGGATTATTTCATTAGCTCTGGCCAGAGACTATGTCAAGAATGACATATACTATGTGCTGAACAGTGTCCACCCAGAATTTTCATCTTGACATTATCATCACCAGCACATCAGAATGTGACTGCAGTTGCAATGAGGGATTTTAAGGATGTGATGTATTAGAAGGAGGTGTTAGTGTTAGGTGGGCTCCTATGTAGTATGACTGGTATCCTTAAAAGAGGAGAAAATTTGTATCCCCAGAGGGAAATGAAGGAAGAATGTGAAGAAAAGACCATGTGAGTTCATAGAATGTGGCCCCCTGCAAGCCAAGGAGAGATGCCGGAGAATAAAGCAGAAGTGGGTACCTGTCACTCTTGGACTTTCAGCCACCAGAGCTGAGACATTTTGTTATGGCAGCCATATTGACTCAAGTGCAGCATGTGACCCTTCTCTGAGCAGCTGGACATGAGGACAAATGAGCTAAGGATTCTGTGGAAGGATAAATATTTCCTAAAGGGTATCTAAAAAGAGTTGATATTTGGCTTGGTGTTAATAAATTATTTGGACATGCTGTATCCCATGTTGGAGTGGCTTGGCTCTCTGATAATATTAGTCAGGAGGGACCTATGTTGCTTCAATTATTTGGGATAAGACGAAACATGTACCGAGGTCCCTGAGTATTGCTGCCTCTCTACTAAAAATAATACAAGAGTAGGGCAAGTTTCATATAGTAATAAAGTTGCTATACTTGGAGGGGGCTGCATCCTAATTGTAGTAGCTGTGAATTATATTGGCACACCTCCATGTACCTTCTTCCTGCTAGTGTGTATACTGGGTGGGAAAAGAGGATGCCTGAAGCAATTGGGATCATTCTCTTGCATGAAACACTCAGGTTGTGTCCATGGTTCCCAGGTTCAGCCTGGCACAGGTACAGATCTTGCTAGGATTTGGATTGTGAATCAGCAAATTGGAGATTTCTACCCAGCTTCTGAAAGTACAATTAATTAATTAACTAAAAAGTGGAGTAAGAAAAAACAAACTAACAAGCAAACAAAAAATGATCTTACAAACCTGCTGTCTTGCATCTCCCATCTCTCACTTGTCGTGAGACACAGGTTGAAGCCAGGAAGGGTACAGACTTCAAGAGTCAAGGATTTAAGTGACATTGATCTAAGAGCTGCCGGGTCAAGCATGCCTGGAGTCTGTTCCCTAACATTCTCATTTCATGAGGTGGTATGTGCCTTTTCTGTTTCAGCAATCTGCAGATGGAGTTGTCATTATGCTCAGCTGAAAGCTTTCTCACTTGTTCAGGCCTGAGCACTCCAAATGTTAAGGGCATTGGAGGTTGGTACAGGTGGGATGGGGAAAAGATTCAAAAGGAAGTGGAGGTATAGTCAGTGCGTGGAATTGTAGAATAATTGTGGCTAGAAGGGGGTCTAAAAGAGGTTTTGCCTTTTCTGTACAATCACGGATGTTGTTGTGGAAAATCAATGATTTATGCATTCTTTAAGATGAGATGTATCATTATACTAAAGATACAAAAAATTTCATAAATCCATGATAAAAGTACTAAGAGAAATGTACTGAGTTTCTCTTCTTGGTGCTGTTTATATATATATATATTCTGTAACATGTCTGGTAATTTTGTGTAAAGCAGTAATAGAACATTTAAACAGAAAATATTGACTTATTGGCTAAAAAGAAACATTCACACTGTTTTTGGGGCTTTCATTCCACTAGGTTTACAGAAAGCTGTTTGTTAGGTATGTGGTGTCATGAGGAAAAATTGGTCAATTCTATTGTAGCTGAAGGTGGGGTCATGAGAACTAAAGCATAACATCAGCAGGATTAAGACTTCCCAGGGCATTCATACTGATTTATTGCTAATTACTTAAATTTTCCTCGGATCATGGCAAAATGAGAAAATTAAGGACCAAACAGTGGTCTTTGTAGGAAATTCAGCGTATTCAGCTAAATCAATATATAATTTTAAGTGATTCTCTTTTGTGTTAAAGTTTTCTTTTATGGGTGAAGTGATGATAATGGTAGATGTTTAATTTTAAAATGAGTTTACTTTTCAGATAACAAAGACACAAAGAAAACAAAGTAATGCTAACTCCAGGTGGCTTATTCACCTACTTGTATGTTATTTTTGAGACATGTAATAGTCTGTGAGTTTCTGAAATATTGGACCCATGACTTTAGATGACTTTAACATTTATCTCTCAGAGTGTGTGAATTTCAAGAGTTATCACTGTGTAAATGACCTTCCTTGAGTTAACAAGGGCTGTCCCTCCATGGGCATCATGCCCAGGGAGGGTGTGGTGGACACTTGGGTTGGACCCCACTGGGCTTTCTCCATAAAGGGCTCAGCTTCTCATCTCACATCAGAAGCCTCTGCAGAGAGAGCTCCCATCTCCATTCAGCTCCTGTGCGGGAATTGAAGCAAGGAGGCTGTGCAGGTGACAAGGAGGCTGTGACCAGTGCTGGACCAAGTGCTGTGGGAACTCAGTCTGTGAGTTGGGGACTCCCTGTTACAGTTCAGGGGTGCAGCCATGGCGTTGGTCCCAGGGATGTGTGGCACTCACCCAAAGCAAGAGGGTCTGGAGTCTTTGCAGGAGTGCACAGCCTGGGACCAAAGAGGTAAACAAACCAAATATCTACCCAGTGTCCTTCATCTTCCTTCTCTTTAGGTTGCCATGACCCAATTAGGCTTCCTGCTGCTCCTGGTTGTGGCCAGCAGCTGGCACAGTGCAGGTGAGTTGCCCTCCTGTGTGGAGAAGCATCCCAGATCAGCTCTGGTCCTGCAGGGCAGAGCTAGTCCTGGTGCTTCCTGGATCCATCTTTCCCGGGGCACAGGGAGTGCTTAGGGATGCAGAGAGGCTGGTGTGCATGTAGGCTTCATGTTGATTTCTGACTGTCTGTGGGACTGGCTCATAGCACTGGTGCAGCTGAGGGCACTATCTATGTTTTGAGCCTCTGCATGATCCTGTGTGGGCATCAATGAGAAAAAAGTCTCCTTGCTCTTCCCCAGGTCAGTGGTCTTGATCTTCAATTTCCTTGGGATTGGCATGGTAACATTTAGCTGAGGAATGTGTCTTCATGTGTTTCTTTCCCATAACTGGAATGATGATACTTAAAATGGTTTTTCTTTCTTGTTATTTACTTATTTATATTTGAAAAGATTAATTTATTTTTATTGGGAAGGCAGATTTTACAGAGAGAAGGAGAGACAGCGAGGAAGATCTTGCATCTGCTGGTTCATTCTCCAAGTGTCTGCAATGGTTGTAGCTGAACCTGAGCTAAGCTGAGCTGATCCAAAGCCAGGAGCCTCCTTAGGATCTCAAATGTAGGTTTAGGGTCCTAAGGCCTTGAGCTGTCCTCTACTGCTTCTCAGGCTACAAGTAGGAAGCGGGATGGGTAGTGGAGCTGCAGGGGCAGAAATACATATAGTATCTTGGTAAGGCATGTATTTATCAACTAGGCTATCACTCTGGGCCAATTTATTTATTTATTTTTAAAGAAGACAATTTAAAAAAGATATTTTTTCACCTGAACTTCACAAAACACTCTTTCTTAGCTTTGAATAATGAGGAAACTGAGGCTTTGGTATGTGAAGTTCACTTCCGCAGACACTCAAGGGTGAGGGCTGTGTTCCATCCGGGTGAACTCAGCTGCCTTGCAGTATGGGGGTGTTCTCATTCCTCTGGACGTTCATAGCAGTTTGCAGAGTGGGATTCACAGACCAGGCTCTTCCTTCTCTGCCTCTGCTGGACTCCTAGCTGTTGTCTCCTTACTCCCTACCTCCTCACCCAGGGTCAGCTTCAGTAGGCTACTTTTTTTTCTGCTATAAGCTAGATTATAATTTAGCTTATTTTTCCTCGTTTGGACATGATGCCCTCCAATTCCATGTGCAGTTTTCTTCTCTTTCTTCCTACAGATATATGTTGTGCATTTTCTCAGGACACGGTTAGTTGTTTCCTGGACAAGATGTTCTGTTTTGACTCTGAGATCTCATCCCTACTACCCCTTTCTCCATTATGGCCTGTTCTTTCCCATGTCACATACTTTGTCTTGCAAGGGCCAACATGATTAGCTCTTATCATCTGTTCTTCTCAATAGAGTTCTATTGACTGTTCTGTAATCCCCTTAGAGGCAATTCTTTGGGGATGCTGAATGTGTCGGAATGGCCAATGTCTAGGGCAGGGAGTATCGCAGTTGGTGGTGGCATGGAGGGGATGTGCATAAAGCCTGCTGGGCGAGATGGGGGGAGATTTGCTGAATGGATCTGATCTGGGTCTCTCAGAGCTGTAGACTGCAGGCACAGAATGGGCTCTGCTGTGGGAGTGGAACGGGTGTGGGATTCAGGACAATGGGGCATGAGGGTTTATGTCAAAATGCAGAAATAACCAAACTCTGCTTGTTCTGCAGCTGTTAACTATACAGATCCCATGAGACACACCTGTTCTTATTCTCCAACTCTGCCCAGAAGCTGCAAGGAAATCAAACAGAATTGCCCTGCATCCCGTGGTGAGTGATGAGCCAGCCAGCCAGAACTAGTCAAGTGCTTAGGCTTCGCAGAATGTACCCTTTTTAAAAAAAATTTCTTGTAAAGACCTTTCAGTATTATACATATAAATACTCATTAAATTTAAGTATATTCAACCAGCATTTTTGATTTTTAATAAAAGATAAAATATGTATGCAAATAAATGTAGGAAAACATTTTGCAGTTGACAGGTTTGATTGCAAGTCAATGTCTTTAATGCCTTCAGAAGGCTGCATCTCCAGGACATTGTCATTTCCCAGAGTGGATAGCTAAATGTAGTGCCCAAAAGCACTTCCTGCATGTTCTGCCTGCTCTCAGTTTGTGACTCTGCGAGGCTCTGGTTGATTCTCTCTACAGATGGCCTGTATTTCCTCTGCACTGAGAATGGAGTCATCTACCAGACCTTCTGTGACATGACCTCTGGGGGTGGTGGCTGGACCCTGGTGGCCAGTGTGCATGAGAACAACATGGGTGGGAAGTGCACGCAGGGTGATCGGTGGTCCAGTCAGCAGGGCAACAGGGCAGACTACCCAGAGGGGGACGGCAACTGGGCGAATTACAACACCTTTGGGTCTGCAGAGGCAGCAACAAGTGATGACTACAAGGTTGGTACAATGCCCTCTTTTCTGTCTCTTGTGTGAGAATGAGGAGTTGAGTTGATGACACCACAAGTAAGCTTAGGATGAGCCTGAAAGCTTGCGAAGTACTTACATGTCTTGAAGCACAACTTCTCCCCAACAAGGCCATGAGGAAGGGAGGGATATATGAGGAATCTTTGTGTGCTGGAAGTGGGGTGTCTGAGGCTGCTGTCACTTGCCTGGCTGAGCCAGTGCTGTGACCTCAGTCAGGTCTGCAGTGGCTCAGTGGAACTTTGTGGTCTGGTCAGGCTTAGTGTCTGTTACTCTACAGAACCCCGGCTACTACGACATCCAAGCCCAGGACCTGGAAATCTGGCACGTGCCCAACAAGACGCCCCTAAAGCAGTGGAGGACACGCTCCCTGCTGAGGTACCGCACCAACACTGGTTTCCTCCAGAATCTGGGACACAATCTGTTCGGCCTCTACAAGGTACGCTGGGCTGTTGGGTTTGGGCACATTCTTTGATAAACAGAGAGCCATGTGTTTGGAGGGAGCAGGTCTGAAATGTGGGTGGCTGATGATCTCTTACTGCCTCTGTTTGGCTGATTCTCCTACTTCAGGATTCCTGTGAACCCATGTCCTTTTCCTCACTGAAAAGCTGATTCAGACAATGTCAGAGGGCCAGGGAGATGGAGAGTGTGAAAGAAAGAGGGACATGGAGTTTGGGTCATTGTGGAGACACAGCTCTGGGGAGAAAGGATTGACTATTACTGAGATTGGTTTGTGGATAATGAGTTAGCTTGAAGAAATTCCTCCCTCTCCATAGTTTGACATCGGCTCTACTCTCCTCACATAACCTCTCTTTTGCCTCTGCAGAGATATCCAGTGAAATATGGAAGAGGGAAGTGTTGGACTGACAACGGCCCAGTGTCACCTGTGGTGTATGACTTTGGTGATGCCCGAAAAACTGCCTCTTATTATTCACCCATTGGCCAGAGTGAGTCTCATTATAAATCCTGACTTTCTTTCATGAAGAAATTTTGACAACACTTAATTATTGCTTGTATTTGTTGGGCAGTTACAGTAGTAACACACTCTTCTTGGGTTCTTTACATGGTCTTGCATCATTAGCTTAATTAGAATGTAAAGTTAGATTTCCAGTTATTGCCTTTTTGGAATACTTGAATCCAAGTTTTGAAAAATTCAGTAAGCTAGTTTGCCTCTTGTAAGAGTTAATAAAAGGTATAGAGTAATGTTGCTAGGATATAAAAACTGACAATGTTGTGAGAGAATTTAGTTTCTGTCGTGAGAAGAGTTATCAGCGATCATAAGACAAGCATTTTTAATACAATTAACTAGCATATGTGAAGTCTTTCTGTGTGAATGAGGGCAGGTGTGGTGGACATAATCCACACCTGCCAATTGGAGACGAGTGAGGTGAGCAGCAGGTGGCCACTCCTGCTCGTTGCTCATCCCTGCTGGACCTTTTGTTGTATTACGTGATCTTTTTCATTTCTACCCTAGATCCTAGGCAAAGGAGTATCCTTTTGTAATCCCCAGTATTAGTTCTGTGCTCCCAGATGGAGAGCCATTCCCCATAGGGACAAGTTCATGGTAGGCATGCATGAACCACTGGGAACAGACAGAAGTACTGGGCTCTGCTACACATGGAAGTTTGCTGCAGCCTCTGTTCTGGGCTTAGGGAATCTCTAGGAATCTGGATAGGTGAAACAGAAGCTGTTTCTAGTCATCTCTTTGAGCAAAACTGTTTCTTTTGTCTTATTTATTGCAGAGGAATTTGCTCCTGGATTTGTCCAGTTCAGGGTGTTTAACAATGAGAGAGCAGTGAATGCACTATGTGCTGGGATGAAAGTCACTGGCTGCAACACTGAGCATGTGAGTGTTTTGGGAGATCACTGTCCTGTGCTTGTGTGTGCAGGAGGTGATTTTGTTTCTGTGTGTGCGTGTGTGCTTATATTTCTGTTTTATACGTAGGTCTGTCTGTGCGTGTGTGTATCTGTGTGTTTTGTGTTTGTATCTATTTTACCCTATAGCAGTGCTTGTACCTGTCTGTGTCTATGTCTGTATAAGCCTATTTACTTTATCTTTTTTAGGATTTACTTTTTCTGAGCTTGGTGCTATAGTCTAGTGGCTTAAGCCTTCGACTTGCCTCTGCTGGGATCCCATCTGGGTACCTGTTAGTGTCCTGGCTATATCATTTCCCATCCAGCTCCCTGCTTGTGGCCTGGGAAAGCAGTAGAGGGCGGCCAAAGCATTGGGACCCTGAACCCACATGGGAGACCTGGAGGAAATTCCTGGCACCTGGTTTTGGACTGTCTTAAGTCTGGCCATTTTGGCCACTTGGGGAATGAATCAGCCAACTGAATATTTTTCTGAATCTCCATCTCTTGGTAAATCTACTTTTCCAATAAAAACAATCTTAATAAAAAGATCTTTTTATTTTTATTGGACATGTAGATTTACAGAGAGGAGACACATAGAGAAAGATCTTCTATGTGCTGCTTCACTCTCCAAATGGTTACAATGGCCTGAGCTGATCGATCCGAGGCCAGGATCCTCTTCTGGGTCTCCTCTGTGGGTCCTGGGTCCCAAGGCACTGGACCCTTCTCTGCTGATTTTCCAGGCTGCCAGCACGGAGTTGGATGGGAAGTGATGCAGTTGGGACTCATGTCAATGCCCATACCGGATACTGGCACTCGGAAGTGGGGAATTAGCCAGTTGAGCCATTGCACCAACAGAAATGTATTTATTAATGTGTGTACCTACATGTATTTCTCCAAATTTGTCTGTCTTTGAGTCAGGCTTTTTTTTTTTAATGAATGTGTGTGAATGTGTCTGAGGTGTAGTTGTGTTAGTGTGTGTCCCTGTGTCTCTGCTTTTGCTCTCATTCCCATTTTTCCCTTGATAGTGTCATATGTACAAACTTTGATGCTTAATGATTTCTTTATTTTCATTTCAAGCGCATTTTTTTTAATAAGAGAGAAGAACAGATGGAGAGAGAAGTCTTCCATGCTGTGGTTCATTTCTCAAATGGTTGCAATGGTTAGAGCTAAGCTGATCTGAAGCTGGGGGCCAGGATCTTTTTCTGGGTCTCCCATGTGTGTGGAGGGTCTGAAGGACTTGGGTCATCCTTTGTTGCTTTCCCAGATCTCAGGAAGGCTGAATCAAAAATGGAGCAGCAGAGACATGGATCACACCCATATGGGATGCTGGCACCACAGGGCAGAGGATTAGCTTGGTGCACCACTGTGCTGGCCCTGAACATAATTTATTTCAATGGAGTTCAGTTAATCAGCGTTTTCATCTTTTGTGCATTTTTTGTTTCCTTCGAGATGTATTTATCTATATTCAGGTCATGAAGATATTAATGATTTAGAATATTGACTCCTAGACACTATATTTTTGTGGTTTTTTTCCAATTAAGGAGGAGAGAGAGCCATCTCCATGTCCTCTCTCAGCTATCATTGTGTCCATTTTCCAGCCACAATGGGTCCTGTGTTCTCACAGAAGATCCTCCAAATGATGATGCAGAGGATGAAACTGGGTGGGCACTGGTAGTGGGTTGGAATAGTTGTCTTCATTTTTTTATAACAAACATTTCTTATGTTGGCTTCCCTAGCTGCTTAGATGGTTAGTGAATGCATGTTTGCTTAGTTTGTTAACTGCACTGATCCTGAGAAATGCATGCCTAGAACACCTAGAAGGTGCTGGATAGTTGAGATGCAGAGTTGACCTAGTCATCTTGAGGAGTTCAGGTTGAGTAGGGCACAGAGATAAATGCTAAATCACAGTGTCGTGCAGTGTAGCAGAAGTACAGACAAGGGGCTCTGGCACACACAGGAGCTCCTGCCTGCAATGATGACAAGCATTGATTACTTAAGGAAGGTGGAATTTGTGTGAGGTTCAAAACATGTCTAGAGTTCAACAAGTGCAAGGGGCGGAGAAGTACATTTATTAGTAGATGACTAACATGTTCATAGTCCTGGCTGTATGATGCAACCAGGCGTGTTCAGTGGGCAGCAAGATGTTTATAAATGTTTGATAATGGGCAGATCAGGGAGCTGATGACATAAAAAACATACAGGAATCAGGGCATGGAGGGGCTTGTGTCTTATGTCAAGGGTATTGTGAGTAACAAGAAAATCTAAGCTGGTCTGTTTGGGTTTTGCTAAGATAATGTGTGTGGAAGATACATATTCAAATCAGGTGACATTAGGGGCTAGAGAACTTGAATTAGGTGTAAATCCTATTTATAAGAGGAAGCATCTGTCCATGGTGTTCTTGAGTGAACATGAATGGGTTCCAGAGATACACACATGATGAATTTAACTTTTTGATATCCAGGCGATTTCTGGGAATTAGATATGTAGAGCATGAAAAACATTTTGAGGTTTGTTTTGGTAACAGTATTTTCAATGAAGTTGGAATGTAGATAAATCAGGGAAAGTAGTGATTCTTTTTTCTTTTAAGTCGAGAAACATTTGAGATGTCTATGTAGACACATCTCAGTGTTGATTGCTTATGGAATCCTCAAGCATAATAACTACTTGGGCAGTAAAGAGAGATTTGTGACTCAGCATTGTGTGGGTAACACTTTAGATTGTACAAGATGTGTCCCCACAACAGAGAAATTGAGGTATAGACTGAGCATTGTGTGTTTAGGGCATGTGCAGAGAGCAAAAGCCCATTGCTGAGTCTAAGAATCCATACTCTGAAGGATAGGATGAGGGTCCAGCCTGTGGCACAGTGTGTCAATCTACTGCTTGTGACAGCTGCATCCTACATTCGAGTGCCTTGTTGGAATCCTGGTTGCTTTGCTTCCAATTTAGCTTCCTGCTGATATTACCAAGAAGCTCAGGTACTTTAGTCCCTGCCAGCATGCGGTAAACAAATGTGAAGTTCCTGGCTCCTGACTTCAGATTGGTCCAGTCTTGGGTTCTTGCAGTCATTTGGGATGTGAATCAGCAGCCAGAAGATCTCTGTCTCTCTCTGATTCTATCTTTGTCATGCTATCTTTCAAGTAAATAAACAACATTTTTATTTTGTGTTTTAAAAAGTTCAAAAGAAGTAAGAAACAGATCTTGAGTTCTTACCAATTGTATGTGATGGAGTGAATAAAGAGAAGTAGATTCAGAACAAAGATTCCAGGGGACTTGACCATTAAGAGCCTGCTGGTGTCCACAGCCAATCAAATCCCTCCCTGTGTTCCTTCTTTGTGTTCCCAGCACTGCATTGGTGGAGGAGGATACTTCCCAGAGCGCAATCCAGTGCAGTGTGGGGATTTCTCCTCCTTTGACTGGGATGGATATGGAACCCATCGGGGTTCCAGCAACAGTCGGGCGATCACCGAGGCAGCTGTGCTCCTATTCTACAGATGAGAGCTCTGCAGTGTGAGACCAGGATTCTGTGGTTAAATCAGTGTCAGAGATAGAGGATCTTGATTGGTAATAAGGAGAGATCAATAAAATGCTTCAATGTATGTCTTGTCTGGTTTGAGATCTTTTTTATATGTCGGCTGCCAATTTGACAGACACATTAAAGAATATGTGTTGTTCCGTGAGCTCCACCACACACATTCTGGGTTTGAAATTTCCTGTCCCAAATATGACAGCAGTAGCAGTGTGGCGGCTGTAGGGGGTGCCCCTGCCAGGTCGGACCCAATGCTGGGGACTCATGCCAAAGACACTGCCGCAAGGCAGTGAACGAGTCCTCGGCCTCCGCCAGGGCGGCCAGTGCACCAAGTGGTGTCAGGCTTTGGCTGCTGGCCGCCCGGCAGGGCGAACTCTGGGGTTTTTAATATATGTAGTTGCTGTCTGGGGACACTCATGACTAAGGCCAGTTTGAGTGTAGGTGAGAAGTGAATTTTGGGTGATTCTCAGTGACAGGGTCAGGAAAGATTCAGGCATGCATGGGGACCAAGACCTGGCGGTTTGGAGGGAAGTGTCCAGAAGATAATTTGAGTTAGACAGATGCAACAGCTCAATTAGGAATGCAGAGATGGGCTATTAGCAGAGAACATCACTGATCACCACACACTAGCCCACACCAAAGCTATGGATGGGGGGCCTCTTTGGCAGTGTTGGGTACCATTACCAGACTGAGTGGTGGAGTTGTGGAATGGTCACATTTGAAGGATCAAGACACTATCCAGCACACGAGAGAACTTGGGCTGGGGGTAGACTCTGTGGGGTTGTGTGGGCCCAACCCTTTGGAATACAAGTCACCCTGGTTAGCTCGTAAGCTGGGGTTGCAATGGTTTAAGCTAAGTGTGGCCATGCCACCTGCCATATCTCATGGGTAAAGGAACCCACAACAGTCAGGGTAGGTCAAGGCAGCAGCACCCAAATGTGCATCCTTAAACAAGATGTGGGGTGGGCTGGGCTGCCACTGGAAGGGGGCAGAATTGGCAAGGCTGAACAAACCTTAACTCACAAGAAACAACAGAAATCAGGTTGGAACACAGCTCATGCCATGTAGGTCCTTGCACATACTGATCTGCGTGAGGCAGAGGCACTAAGCCACAGCATCCAAGGGGCCAGGACAAGTGAGGGGCTCTGCCAAGTGGAGACAGAACAACCACTGGCCTGCGCATGATCTATGGCTGGGAATAGGCCAGGTTGGGGAACTAAGGGGACACCCTAGCTGGGTTGAGTTTCTCACCAAGGAGCGCATGGGCTGGAACTGAGACTATTCTAATCAGGATACGATTCTAATCTCACTTGGCACAACTGTGGACTGGGACTGGAAGCACCAAGCCAGGCCAGATTCCAACACCATCTGATGCTCTGGAGGACTGGGGAGACATGTGTGACAGACTAGGCTGGGTCTCAGCCCTTACTGAACCATGTGTAAGCTGTGTGGGGGTATGGAAGAGCTGTGGCTGGATTGAAACATCCAACAGTGAGAACCAGATTGGGTTGAAGGCTAGTCAGGAAAAGCCACTGTTCCTACTAGGACAGGAGGTGAACTGAGTAGGGCTGGCTCATGGACCCACTGGTATGCACGAAAACTGGCATTGGGAGAGGTTCTGTTGGAGGAGCCTGGGTAACTTCTCTGGCAGGACACAGTCCCCTGCAGGTAAGCGCAAGAAGCACAATAGGGAACAACCCAGAACAGGCAATGGAAATTATCCCATGGGCATACAAATGGCATAGGTTGGAGGCAGACCAGGCTGAACCTGTTCACATTACCTACTGGTGAATCTGAGCACCAGAACAGAGTGTGGGTTGAGCCAGGTTTGGTTGCAACACATACCAGTACCCAACTAGTAATGCCAAGGTGAGATGAGCCATACCAGATGTGATTGCAGCGCCCAAACAGCACACGCAATAATCAGGGGGAGGAGGCAAAGCCAACAGGGGAACGTGGACTCCCTTGCTGGACAACTACTTCCATTGGAAAGTGTGAGTTGGGATGGGGGCAGTTCAGACTAGGCAAGGCTATACCACCTGTGGGCCTCATGGTGAGCTGACTGTTCTGACTGTTGCAAGCAAAAGTTAGAGTGTTTGGGCTTAGCCACAGCATTAGCTGGTAGAAGCTGGCACTGGAAGCTAATTCTGTCAAGTCAAATGCCAGAACCACCTGGAGACTGCATAATCTGGGAGTGGGTATGGCCTAGTAGGGAAATAGTGGGCACCTCCCTCGGAGTTACCACCCTCACTGGACAGCACGAAAACCAGGATAGGGGCAGGGGTGGCTAGACAGAAAGGCACCTGCCAGAAGGTGTATGGGCTGGATAGTAGGTTGGTTGGGTTGAACTAGGCTTCAATGTCCATTGATGTGTGCGAGAGCTAAATGGGATGTGGGACAGACTGGACAAGCCTGCGGTACATACTGGCAAGCATGGGAACCAGGGCAGGGGGCAGAACTGGTAGGGGTTTTGGGGAGTCACCCCAACTAGGCTGCAGCTCCAACTGGTTTGCATGAGGACCGAGTATGAAGTGGGTAGGATCGAGCTGGACTACAACACCTGTTGGTTCACGAGGATGACGGGGCTGGAAACAGAACGGACCCAGCAGATGCAAAGACCAGCATGTGCATAAGCTGATTGGTGTGACGGATGGTGTTGGAGTCTGTACTAGCAAACTGACACGAGAATCAGATCTAGGATCATCTCAGATGAAGTTTCTTTGGATATCCTTCCAACTGAACTGCTGATCTTGGAACCCCAACCATCAAGAGGCTGTCAGCCAGTGGACTCTGAATAGGTTTCATTGTGGTTGGGACTGTGAGACTGGCAGCAATCCAGAAATGATGAACTATCCGGACTGTTTGAGCAGGACCCTTGGAGCAGGCCTTTTGTTGGGGATCTGGGATGGGTGGGAGGTTGGGTGGGACTTTTCCCTTTGTTACTCCCCTAACCCCAGATACAGGGAAAAATTATTTTATTAGTGTGGAAATGATGATATTACCCACTTTCACCCTGTAGCCCTTGACCCTTTGTACGCTAATCAATTAGGATTATTAAAATAAAAAAAATAATTAAAAAAATATGACAGCAGTCTAGAAAACTTTGAATTTGATTTAGGGAAGGGAAAAAACTTCTTGCTAATTCTCCATGATGCATTCTTATTAGCTAATATATGCATAACATGAATAACTTAAGGCCGATATGAATACATGTTAAATTATAACAAAAACAGGAAGCACAGGACAAACCTAGTCATTCCTTAGAATGTTGGAAGAGTCTCCTAGGGTGGATGTAACTGGCTTATCTGGAATCCCATCTTACCTGGTTTCTCCACAGGAGAGCCAACAATGAGTGACTCATCCATCCCAAAGTGTTATTGACCATAGCAGTATTGACTCTGAGAAGAAATCAGGTATGTCACACTGTTCAAGGTGTAAATTTCGCATTATTTAAAAAATATTTTTATTTTAACTTCTTTTTAAAATTATTATCATTATTCTATGACACAGTCCCATAGACCCTGGGATTTCCCCTTCCATCCACCAAATACTCCTAAATCATTACTGTAGTATAGCTCTTCGTAAGCAGTCATATGTTCATCTTGCAGGCATGGATAGTGTCAGAGAGTCTAGCATTCTATTGTCAAGATACAGCTAATAGGTTCATTAGTTTTCCATCTTTGATCTGGAAGTAAAGATGCACACTGCACTGCATCCTCACATCTGGATATTGTAGTCTCCATCACACATTCACCTCACATCGCTCTTAAATGAAATGTGACAATAAAAATCAGCAACAGGAAGAAAAACAGAAATTTACAACACCATGAATTTTTCAAGAGGTTTTTATAGTTCAGCAGTCCTGAATTGTTGGCGATTCCGCCCCTCCAGTCCTGATGCAATCTCTCCTGAATCCACGGACTGCTATAGTCCACCTAGTGTCTCTGTCTGCCCTATCTTCACTGCCAACGATTGGCTGGGGTAGTTGATCAATTTGTTCTGTCCTCCATCTTCTGCCATGGTAGCAGGTGTCCTCTGGAGGCTCCATGTACTGCCACATCCTTCATGTACATTTGGATATGCTTTCCTCTCCTCCATCTGAGCCACTGAGGAGGCCCAGCTTTGACACATCCACTCCCACAGTCGGCTAATGGAACCTGCACTTCTCTCCGTGGTTAGGGTTCTGAGTCCAGCAATTCAGGTGGTAGGGAATCGCCAAAGAAGCCTCATCTGAGGACATCCCAGACCTGATTCTTGTGTGTGTTTATCAATACAAGGTCCAGCACAGTCTGTCACCCAATCAGCATCCGCACACACTGGTAGTTGCACCTGCTGGGTCAGTTCTGTCTCCAACCCGTGTTTTACGCAACTCAATGAATGTTGGAACCCAGCCCAATCCTGCCTATCACATACTTGGCCTTCATGAAACCAATGGAGGCTGTAGTCTAGTTGGAGAGACACACAAAACCCCCTTCCAGACCCTGGTTCCCACGTTTGCCAGTACGTACAGCAGACTGGTCCCCTCTGTCCCACATCCCATTTAGCTCTTGTACATGTTGATGGGCATTGAAGTCAAGTTCATCACAATCAACCCCACTATCCAGTCCACACTGGTGTCAGCAGGTGCCACCATCTGTCTAAGCCATGCCTGTACCTGACAGAATTTGGCTCCTGTGGCAGCATCTGCCAGCTGATGCTGTGGCAAAGCCCAATCAATCCACACCGACACTGCTTATGCATGTACCTGAAGGTACAGTCAACCTAGCCTGGTTTTTCCCTGATCCAGTTCACATGTAGGCCATTGGATGTAGCCCCACCAGGCCTAATCTGCCCCCATCCCAGCTCTCATGCTCACCAGTGGGAGTGGTGGCCCAACAGGGGTGCCCTCGCAGCACCCTCACTGAGGCCATTCCCACCATCCCCTCGGGTTGCACATGTGCTGGTCGGGTGACACAATCCAGTCTAGCAT